ACGAATTGATTAGATGACTGGAGTTATAGGTTCTTAAAGAATAGATTATTTGTTTTGGGATCTGAAGATTTAAAGAATAGACAAATAAAGGTTCTAAAAATCCTAATTAATTGGTCGATCGATTGGTATGAATCAGCCATTCAATTGACTTATGTGCTAACGGTCAACCAGTTGGTTTGAATTGGCTAGTTAGTTGGCTTGTGCTGTTGTTTGACTAGTTGGTCTAAATCGACCAACTGGTTGGCTTGTGATGGTAGTTGATCAGTTGGCTTGAGGTGGTAGCTGACCGGATGGATATTTTGGTCAACTAGTTGACTTAGCAGTAGAGGTTAATTGGGTTTGTTAGATTTGATTAGTTTGGGCTGTGTTAGGGATCGATTGAGTGAATCAATTTGGCTTTATAATGATATTTGGTATATAAGCTTAGAGTTCCAATCTCTTATGTTATTTTGCTTTAATTTGTTTTTTAGTATTTTTTATATCTGTTATAGGTTCTACTAATGTTTCTTTTATTGATCTTCAGTAGTCGTTAGTTTTGCATCCATTTATTTTTTGCTTTTGTTTTTCTATTAGGTAGGATAATCTTTAATATGTGTGTAATATAAATAATTTACATATATTGATTATATGATGAGTAAAATTGATAAAATCTTGAATATCTACACATGTTAGTTTATTTTCTGAGCACTCATCCATTCTTGATTTTATTTTTGCATTCTATTAAATTAAACTCTACTCGATATGACTTTCATTTTCTTTGATAATTATATGAGTATCTCTTATATTTTGATATTGGATTTATTAGTAACTCTATATTAACAAAGCATAGCTAGTATATACATACATAATATTCTATATACCTAGCTAGTGAGAGGTAACAACTTATTACAACTAATCCTCCCAAAATGATCGAGGCCACAAACCTCATTCGATTGTCCTTATACTTATAAATAGCTAAAATATATATTAAATGTTATTCTCTCATCGAGTTAGTTGAATTCATTCTTTTATTTTAATATTATTTCCAGTTTTTAATTTTCATTAGCAGGTTGACCTTTGATTAAGAGTTCCTGCTATTTTATTTTTTGATATATCTTGCTTACTTCTACAAGATTTTTTTTATTTTTTATGATTTAATGTCTTAAACACTTTATTATTATGATATTTTCATTCAAGTTTATATTTTTATTTCAAAGTTTGGATTTTATGTAATCGTAACAAATATAATGAACTTAACATTTTGGAAATTTATGAAATGTTACGTAAATTTATATAATTTGTTTTATAGTTTGGACATCTCTTTCATTCTCCTTAATTTATGGCTTTATACTAAAAGATGACGTCTAAGAATATTTTTATAACTGATACAATAAACAAACAAGAAGGTGTCCACATTCAATTCCCCGAGTATTTAGATGTAAACTATACCGTACCGATCAACTAATCAACAGGAGGAGGACCACTACATATCATCAGATTCAACTGACATGACCTAGTTAACTAGATCCAAGGCAAAACCACTTCCATATATAGTATTAGTTTATCTGGAAAATCACTGGCTGACAGCTACATATCGTCTTCTGCAGGCCTGCCCCTTGTTTTTGGAGACCCACTGGCTCGATGCCTGATCTCTCTTTTTCATATCAAAGAGTAACTAGTTGAGCTAATTAAAAAGTGATTGCTGAGAGTATTTCAGTCTTAACCATTAGATTCCAAGTTCAATGGTACTGATGTGAGATTACGAAGAAGTCGTGTTGTTGGATATGGAGTTGATGACGCTGGACTGTCTAGATAGGACAGAGCGGTGTTAGGATGGTAAGAAATACCAAGTCATAATCGAGTGTCCTTATAACGCAAATTCGAAAAGTTCATTTAGAGGCACACATTGTAGGCTATGCTTGTTGGGATCGAGTTGTTTTGGATCCCAAATGTAGGCCTCCCTTATCCTAGTTTTGTGTTTCCCCCCTATCTTTTATTACCTATCGGAAATTTATTTTTTATTCTTATTTCTACTCAAGTTTTGTGGATTGACTTGTTTTAGACAGTGTTCTTAATTTCCTCAATGTGGCAAATTTTCCAACCCAAATGTCTAAGCTCAGCTTATGGGCTGATTTGGAAATCCAGAGCATTATTCAGGAATTTCTCTCGAGCCGTTTTTCATTTTTATCTTTCTAAATGTTACCTTTCACTCTTAATTATCATAGTTAAGACGGTATAAATAGGCAAGCATAGAGAGCGTCGCTAAGAATGAGACCATGTCGACCACCACTTTTCTTGATCCTCTGAACCATTTCATTTGCAATCATGAAACCATCTTGGATTTTTCTTCCCGCTATAAAAGTTGTTTGATTGGTGCTAATCACATGAGGCATTACTTGTTTCAGCCTGTGGACAGTTTTTTTGGCTACAATCTCATATAGACCATGCACTAAGCTATATTCGAAGAAGCCAACTGGTGATTTTATCTTTGGAAACAATGCCGCATGGGAGATATTAATGCCTTTTGATAGCTTACCGAGTCTAAAGATTTCATTCACCATGATAAGAGGCTCATTCCTGATTAAATGCCATGATTTCTTATAGAAAGTAAAGTTGAATCCATCAGGTCCAGGTGCTTTAGACCATCACAATCCCAGACTGCTTGTTTTAATTCATCCAAAGAAACACCCCGCTCTAGCCACTCTGACATTTGAGAAGAGGTAGTCTTGAAACCCGTTTCTCCCATATTAGCTCTTTAGTAGTGAGACTTAGAGAAGAGGTTGGTATAGAAGGAAACAACACCATCTTTTATGCAGAGCTGTCCTCGTCCCCCATGGAAATTGTGTCACTGGAGAATTGGCTTCTCATGTTTCGGTTCAAGAGCCAATTGGATGAATGAACCTCCAAAATTCCTTGGCATAACTGTCCCCGTCAACCTTGAATTCTGGCTTATTTACAACCTGGGCAACTTTGGCATGACTATCAGGATTAGATTCAGAGTCGGTTTCTTCTTCATCTTCCATATGTGGGCAGAACTTTGGCATGACTATACTCTATTGTTTTAAATTAAGGGGCTGGAAAATGCAGGTGATCAAGTTCCTGGATATGTATATAGCAATCCTTCCCTTCCAAGCACAAGACAATATCTTCATTAATGGTGCTTGTAGGTTTAGTAGCAATCAAAGAATTTCAAGGTATCCAAAGTGTTGAAAAGTTGGCTTATTTTGTCAAACCCAATTACTCTTCCATGGTCTTAGCGCCTCAAAGTAGGTCTTCCAAGCTTGATTGTCCATATCTAATGCCATCTTCAAAGAATCAAAAGAAATCAACGCTTGAGAGGCTCCCATGTATCTGAATCCACTGAAAATCACTCCACTGTATAAGACCTCTCTTAATACTTTGACAGTTGACCCCGTTAGCAATCTGTCCTACTAAGGAGTTCTTCAACCATGCTTTGTCTTCTTCAACAATATCGAGCTGCACAATATGGAAGGAGGAGTTTTGCACTCAGAGCTTTTCGAATCTTGTGTTTGTATAGTAGAGGGGGTCGGCAGCAGGGGTATTGCTCTCACAGCTTCTGCATAGCTTCTAGAATCACGTTGACGGATCGGGACAAAGATGCTCGTGGTCGCTGTGAGTTGACTTTGGGAGAAGGAGGTTGTTGATGAAAACGCGCTAGGTTTGCTCGCAGATTAAAGGAATCAAACCAGAAGTCATTGAAGTATTGGAGGAGCTCAGTTTGGGAGAACCAGGATTTCATTGATACGAAACAGAATCTCCAGTTTTCTGATTCTTCCTCCTTGAGATGAAAGAGTTCGGTAACATCTCCATACTTAAGGAAAGCTCTTCTTAAGGTTTGGTAATCTAGCCAAGATGGGAATCTCTCAAAACAAAACTTCAAAACTTGTGAAAAGGGTTGAACGGGTTTTTGGGGGTGAGGTTTAAAGGGAAGGCTATGGTGGGTCAAAGATGGAAAGGGGCGATTGTGATGGGATTGATTTTGATTGTTAGGGATTTGGTTTTGGGACGCAGGGGAGCGGGTTGTTAACAAATTCATTTGAACTCTCTCTAAAACATCCTACAACAACTACTTAAACAGTCTACCCCTGACCTCGACCACAAAGGAAAAAGGAATCCTTGATAGGTGAAAAAAAATAAATTAAAAGACTGATAGGAAATTTAAAAGTTAAAATTCAAAAAACATAATAGCTTGAAAATTCCTCATTGTCCAAGCTGAAAGAGGTAAACCAGTAATCGCAACCCAGCAAAAGTAGTTAGTAGCCATTTCCAAAGCACTCCAAGGAGCTTGAGAAGCAGGTACTTGAACAAGAACACTTGCTGCCAGAAAAGCTAGTCTTAGGTGCAGAGTTTGAGTGCTTCTAATTGTCAATCATCTTGAATGATGAAGAAGGAGATTGAAATGAAAATTCTGGAGAGCTTATTCGAGAGAAGGCTGAGTAGAAAGATTAAACATGAATGGAATCCTTAGCATCTAGGATTGATTCGATGACCTTTTGGCGATTTCTTAAAGAGTGGTCAACGCCATCTTGATCTTTTGAGAAGGCTATCGTGTGATGCCTTTCTGTCTGTATATCCTTTAATTAGAGAGTGGTAGGCAGACTGACATTAGAATAAACAGTGTAAGCACCCTGTTGTCTATATAGCTTAACCCTAACACACGGCAGGAACTGATCACTGATGACAGCAAACATAGACGGACGAACAAATGAAACAGTTTTTATATTATATTACGCTCCAAAGAGAAAAGGTCCAAGTCCTCAAGTCCATGGGATTAATTAAAGCTTGATTAGTTGGTGTGACTTTGTAAAAAGTACACATAGCCCCATCAGCACCTGGTTACTGGCACGCATACAGTGCTACGAGGTTAGTCTACTAGTTAATCAAGGTTAATTAGAGCGTAGAATTCCCATTTATTATACTTTATAGAGAAAGGAAATTGTGCTACTCACATTTATCTCAAAGTAAGATGCAGTTAAAAAAAAATGACAAGATTATAATATAAAGTATAATCATTGTTTATTCCTCAATGGCTTAATTGTTTTTCTAAGAAAACTTTCCAACAGAATAGAAATCTTAGAAAACATCTTCTACGTACAATGTCGTAACTCCAAACCAATCATGCATGTTGTAGAGACTATTCATAAAATCAATGGAAGCCTTAGAACGAACCTCGGAAACCAAATGGAGAAGAATATTTGTGAAGGGATATCTTGATTGTGTTTCTTTGAGAGAATCTGTGTATCTCTTTGCACTCCTCAAGATCACTATCACAAGTCAAAAGAACCCATTCCCCATCATCATCCATATACTTGAGACCAATGCATGTGAAATCATCTATCTCGAAACGCTTACCAATCTCTTGTTGCAAGTCTCTTAAACTCCACTTTGGTTGCAAGCCTAACCTAACCTTTTCTACTCCATAAATGGCTTTAACTCCGAAGACACCTCCTTCTCGTAAACTCGGGCCAAAACATGGTGGACTTTCTAGCTCACTTTGATGAATATGATCACTGACTGTCCTAGTTTTCTGAATTTGAGATCTTACAAGAAAGTCTGGTCCACCTTGGTTATTCAAGGAATACGATTCTGCTAATTCATTACTGCAAGTCCTCTTAAAAATCCCATTCGAGGTTTCTGCAAGTAAAGAGCCATTTCCATTGCTTGAGCCAGTTATTGTGGTGGCAGCATGCTGTTGTGCTCGACCAGAACAGCAGTTACTTGAACAAGAGCTCCTACTACACGGAGAAGAATGGGATTTTGAGGCAGTGCCAGAAGGGCAAGAATCATCAGGTGGAGAGTCTAAGTGCTTTGAATTATCGATCCTCCTAAATGATGAATAAGAAGTATGATTTGAAAGTTTTGGAGAGCTCAGATCTGGAAAGGCTGGATAGAAAGATTCAATTTGAAAGGCACCCTTGGCACCTTCGACTGTGTTGATCACCTGCTGGAGTTTTCGTAAGGAATGGTCAACTTTCTTAATCTTTCGAGAAGGCCATCGTTTGATACCGTGTTGTCTACATATCCTTTTCAGAGTGGTCGGGCAAACTGCAATTAGAACAAATTGTGTTAGCACACCATTGATTAGCTAACAAATGATATTTTAAGAAAGCGACCTAGCTGAACAAAGGAAAATGGTAATAAAGGTTTTGAAATATTAGATCAATTTGGTATCCAGCAAATGTTTGTCTTGTAATGATAATCATCTTTTTTGGAAGAAGTCGATATATTGAAATGGCTATAATGATAATCATCTAATCTAATAAAGGATGCCTCAAATCTAACATTGAAATGCTATTCATTACTTTACATATAAACATGTGCTTTCAGTTGTGATAGGACATTTTCATACCGCCGAGGCTTTGAGCAGCATCATTGAGGCTCCCGGCAAAGTATTGTCGAAGAACTCCCAAGCTGATTGTCTGAATCTCTGTCTTGGTCCGTCTCTTCTTACCTATTTTTGTGCTTCCTAACGAGCGACGTCCGCCAAAAGCAAAAGAAACTCCATCACCCTCAATATTGATATTGGGTCTAGAATGTTGCTGAAGTTGACCCAACTCTGAAATTACTTGCTTCTGGTCTATTTCCACCGCAGAGTCATCCCAATGAATGATCGTCTTGAACTCTTCTTTAGGTTCTTTTGGATAGTCCCATGAGACAATGCAACTTTTACCCTTCTTTTGGGCCTCCACCATGCGGGCAATCCAAGATGATTCGTCGGGTGGAGCTTCTTTCGAAGGGTATGATTCAGAACTCTTATTTTCTCCTATATAAAGCTCCTTGTCCATGACAATTTGTATGCTCCTGCAAACCTGTTTTAAGACAATAGGCAATAAATCCCACATCTTCTTTTGTTCTTCGGTCTCTTGGCAATCTTTTGGCAAGAATAACTCCACCACAAATTCAACCAATCCAGTAGAAATGCTTCTCAGGGGAATCGCTATGGCAGCATGAAGACCAAATATCTTAGCATGGTGAGCTAGTGGATAATCTTTCTTGCTGAAGGAAGCTATATCATTCGTGAAACATTGCTTTTGTGTTGTGAATGCTCTCCCCACAATCCCTTGACCTAAGAAAAGGTATTGCTCAAAACTCGCCATGTGAAAACCTGAAAAATCTTTGTCCGCTAAAAAGCAAGCAGAATCCACAGTGGAAATACAAGAGCTAAACCTCTCGGGAAACTGCTGGCGTCCAATTTTACCTTGCCGGCTACATAGGGCCCATGTTAGAGCCAAGGGCAATCTATATGTCTTGCAAACAGATTTCACAATATCTGAAATCTCAGGCACCGCAGCTCGATTTAATCGATTGCAAGTCTGTGATAAAGGAACACAATTGTGATCTTAGTTATGAACGCTAAAATTTCAGAAACCTTGAGTCTGTTGTCTTTAAAATGTCTAGTATCTACGTACCTCGACACCAGGAGAGCAGAAGTCTTCAGAACTTCTTAGATCAACAGCCTGCAAATCAACATGCATATAAAGACCGAAAAACGAGGAAAGTTCTCTGCTTATTTCACAGGCATGAAGAAATTGATAGCCATTGTTACTTTGGAAAGGCATTTCGATCAGTAAAAAATCTGAAAGTTAAATGCAAGTCAAGCGATATGAAATCAAAGAAACATGAAGTCTATATGCAACTAACATCAAATAATATAACAACAGTCTCATTGATAGCTAATTGAAACCTTTGCAAGATACATAGGAAACTAACAAACCTGGAGAACTTTGCAGATGTCTTGTAGTTCTGAACGATAGCTTATCTTCTGAATGGTAGTCGCAATCTCAACTATGCCCAAGCAAGTCTCACTGCCTTGTTTGAAAAGTGGGAGTGCAAGAGACCCTCTAATGTTATGTTGTACTGCATGATCTTTATGTGGATATTCTTCTCTTCTGAAGAGACGTACGTCAGGAGTCCACTCAGGCAGCTTCTCCAAGAAAACCCGACCGGGGAACCCTACAGAACATTTTGCATCCTCTTCTGCTTGGAAATGATACGCTGTTGAAACCTTTCTGTAACTTGCAAGACTCTTGCAACTCGGATTAACAAAGTACGGCTGATCAATAGTAGCAAGTACTCTTTTCCCTTCTTTCTCCATGGGTAGCCAAATCTGGATAAGAATATCTCTATCTTGTACACAATTTTTTAAGTATCCAACGGCTTGCATTACTCTCTCCTTCACAGAACATGAAGTCCCTGGATTTACTCTCTGCACCATCCGCCATTCGCAACCCAATCCAGCAGCTTCTACTCGACTGCTTGCGGGGTGCGAGAAAGGTGTGGAAGTCTCCACAGAATCTTCAACCTGAAGTTCAGTCTGAACAAGTTCCGTGCTGTTTGGATAATCTAGTGGTGGATTTCCATGGCAATGCCTTTCTGTTTCTTCTTGATAATCCTTCTGGTTTGAGGCTATACTCCAATTAGTAGTCCCCGTAACGGGAATATATAGTGAAGGGTCATGTAGAACATTAGAGGTGGAGAGACCTTGCTGCAGAAAGTTGAACCCTCCATCCTTCTCAAACCACCCTTGATACAAGATTTCATCCATGAAATCCCAGTTCGTGACATTTCCTGAGAAAATATCGAATGTAGAGTTAGGGGTAGAGGAACCGTGGTCATCCATATAGTCAACTTGCTTGAAACTTGCACCAACCAAAGCTTATATATACTCCAAATTAGGAAAGTTTCAACCTGAAACACACAAGTACAACTCAAAACATGAACAAAAAGAGAAAAATCCCGGATTACCACGTACTTTCTTTACATTAAAACTGTACTCTGAAATGCATTTCAGAGCAAATCATAAACTAACATGCTTGTTTCTATGAAAACTAATTAACAGGATTGGACCTTCATTTATACCAAGCCATGTATTAAAATAACAGAAGAGAAACATGAAGCAAGAAAGAAACTCACTTTCTGAAGACTCTTGATTCAGAGAGGCCAGATTCTCTTCCTGTCGGTGTATCATGCCTTGCTGAAAGCAGTGAACTGTGAACCTTAAATTCAAGAGCAGCAGCAGTACAAAAATAACCAAGACTGTTTTTTGGGTGAAACTTGTTTCTGTTTCTCTTGTTAGACCTCATGCATCCCCGAATTTGTTAAATGAGAGGGTTACTATATATCTTCTAGGTTTTTCACACAGGGTAGTGCTATAGTTTCACAAACAGAAGATTGGGTACTCAGGCTGTAACAACCAAGAAACAGAAGAAAAGGAATAGGAGATGAAGTTAAATGCGTATGTTGAGATCACATACTCCATCATCACCTTTTATATATGTGTGTCTGTGTAGTCATTTCTAGCTATAAAGTCAACCATTCAAAAGATAAGCAATCAAGGGGAAAATAAGGAGGAAGAGGGGTGTGTGTGTGTGTGTGTGTGAGAGAGAGAGAGAGAGATGAATCTTTTATATGCTCAAGTATACAAAATGAAGCAATACTCAACCAAAAAAGGGTCTAATGCTATTATTTAATTCACCTGCTCATAGACTGAGTTCAATTTCATCGACTTAAAGCTTAACTGTCAATCATTTTTACCTTTACCTACCATAGTAATTAGCTCAAGATTCTCTTTTTGTGCCTTCCATATCAGCAGGCACTTGATGCTCTAGAAACTAAAAACCCTAGATGATTTCTGCTATCGTTTCAGAAGATTTCACGTTATGGGACAGTCTGCTAAGTGCTAAGAAGGACAAGTTGGAAGGGCTAATGACAGTTTTCCGCGACGTATCTCTATGTCATGCAACGCCTATATAGTTGGGGGCATGAATTCATTTTTATTCACCGCCGACAGATTTGCCACATAGACAATAATTACCACCCTAAAGAGCAGTTCAGTGTTGATGGTCCTGAACATGCTGGAAACCTCAGAGTCAAGCGAGACTTGTGTTGTTCCCGTGGAGAGCGCGTGCCTGTTTAATATTTCATTGCCTTAATTGGTGACCATCATGTGCTGCTTTACAGGAAGCAAAGCCAGGGAAATCATTAACTACAAACATCAAGAAATCAAACATATAATACAGACGCAAATGGTGCTTAACCTCTATGGTTAGGCTTAAATATTAGTCAAAGCTCAAAAACTGATGTCAGTTGAATTATTCTTCAAAATGTCAAGTTGCTTTCCTCCATCTTAATTTAATATGTGAAAGGACATCAACTGAACGCAGAAGAAATCGAAAATACTGATAAATAAATCGTGATGAGTGAATCCACAATTTGATGTTGGATTTAGAGTACACGTCTTACTTGCTATCTGAATTAGTAATGATCCAATTCTTTAATTAAAGCTATTTAATCATTAATCCTGTTGATTATTGTATTACTTATATATTGCATTATCTCCTTGCGTGAACCACCATCAGCTTGCATCTTCATATATATACAATTGACCTTCTAGACAAGTGGGGGCTACCCCTTGTGGTGCTCTATAATTGCTTCATTTCTTTTTATTTTCTCTTCCCGATCGGGTCACTGCACTTTTTTTTTTTTCTTCGTTCTGGCTTCAATTCTTTGAATCCAGGAGCAAAACCAGAAATAATCTGATGAGCTGCACAACGGCAATCAAGATTCAAAAATATATAACTTACCTGACGCAGGCGCGCGGGAGCAATTGAGGACAATAGCAATGACACAATGCTAAAATTATTTTAATGAGCAAAAAAATTTGTTGACATGAACCATTGCTATTCCTAAGTAAATGGTGGTTGTCTCCTTAACAGGTTTACAGGATCTTGAAAAAGATTAGAAAACTCTATATCTACTAGGAAATTAACAACTAGAAATCCAAAAGGCATATAAATTAAAGAAATAAAACAGAAATCCAAATTAAAAAAAAAATAGCCCAAACAGCAACTTTCAAGCCTAATTCTAGAAGATCTAACGATTCTATCAGCAACAAAGTAGCTTGTCATAAAAAAAAAAAAAAAAAAAAAAAACTATATGTAAAATCTCCTGAAAAAATTTAAGTACAGTTCAATAGTTAGACCTCCTCTCGATCCGTTATTGTTGTTTTGTTTTAAGGTATAATTAAACAACATGATCAAACCTTCTACATATTAGGCCTAGATTTGTCCTATTAATCAATAAAAATATTTGTTAAACCATCTATACAAGTCTATATCTTCATCTAGTTGTGTGATATCCACTTGTGATGAATGTTCAGAACCTCCAACGCGGGTGCATCAATATTACCCGGTGTCTTAGATTCTTGATCAACTCTATTGGTCATGCAGGTTTTTAATTGCCAGCTTGTGCCATAACCTTGAGGGCTGATGCAAAAGGAAGACCTGGAAGCTCACATGCAGAGCATAACATGTTTACAATAGTATCAATGGTTAGGTAATCTATAACCAACGGAATTGAGATGGGATATTCGAGGAATAAATAACCCTGTACAGATTCCACACAAGCAGAGGCATGGGAGGAATAATTTACTCGAAAAAGAAATCAATAATGCAGACCTCTCTTAACAATGTATTCTCAAGTAAAAAGAGAGATTGGAGTCCGTCAATCGTTAGGTAGGATATCCGACCTTCCTTCGTATATCACTGTGCACACCATTTTCAAACCAGCTTTATTTTCCTACTCACATCAACAATGCCGAATATCCATTGATTTTATTTATTAGCTTTTCCTTCTAACATTAATTTTACATTTGAAAATTGAAATGATATACATATATATATATATATACCCAGTTCAGCATTGGATCAAACCGAGTCAAAAGGCACGGATTTAATTAGAGAGAGAGAGAGAGAGTCCTGAATTGTACAATATCCTCCTATATCTAATATTGGTTATAATATTAATATATTTATGACTTTATACTAGATGTTTTAAGGTCTAAGAATCCTTCTATGAACAAACACCAAGCTGTCCACGTTCAATTCCCCGGGGACGAATATGTTAAAATATACTGTGCTGATCAGCTAATCAACTAGAGGAGGACCACTTGCATATACATCTACTATAAAGTCATAAATAAAGGAGGATGTACAATTCAGGACTCTCTCTCTCTCTCTCTCTCTCTCTCTCTCTCTCTCTCTATATATATATATATATATATATATATAGCTTATAATCAGATTCAATGTGTTCAGTGACCTGATGAACCACAATATCTAAAGCTAAACCATTTGCGTCTATATATTATTAATTTATCTGGAAAACCAGAATATCCCCTTTTTTCTTTCAATTTTTTTTTTTGGGTGGTATAGAGAGACGGCAGCGGCTCAAAAAGAAAAAAATATTATTAAAAAAGATTTTCACCATTAAAAAGATTTATTTTTGTGTTAAAAAATTTTATGACACGAGGAGGTTAATATTAGATCTTTTTTAACCTTCAAAATACTTTAAAAAACATATTTGAGTTTGAGAAAAAATTTTATTTTAGATTATGGGTCAATTATGAATTGAAAAAAGATTTTTTAATAAAAAATAATTTTATCTTTCCAACCACATTAATGGCTAAATTCTAAGATTTTTAGATGACACGTCGTCTTTTTTGTTCAAAGCAACTAGGGTGGATAAAATATATTAAAGACCCGTACTAGGACCTTTTCTTGATTGGGCTAAGTACAAATCTAATAATGTCTGGCCTCTTTTTTTTTTAGTTTTTTATATTAATGGTTTTTCTATATGTATTATTTAAAATAGTTTTTAAATGTATGTTTTAATTAATATTACTTCTCTATGTTTTTTTTTTTAGTCTTTGTTAAATAAAAATTGTTTTTTAATTATATTATATGTGTTTAAGTTTTTTTATAGGTAGTATGATTCATTTAACCTTTTTTTATATATTTTATATTTATTTTTTATAATATTTTTAGTATATGCAATCTTGTATAGTATTTTTTTCCTTTTATTTTAAATTTTATATGTGTGTTTTTTCATAAATAAATTCATTAAATACAATCATGTAAATGACTTGTATTACAATATTAAATATCTTGATTTATATTATTCTCTTGATTTTTCTAATTATATTTTTATTTATAATTAATATTTTTATTTCATTTACTTACATCAAGATTCGTGATTTATTTAATTAGATATGTACATAATTTTTTTAATTCATATTTATATTTTAGAAAAAAATACATTGAAGAATTCTGCGTATTCAAGTTTTGTTTTTCTTCTAATGAAGTTAATATATTAAAAGGGTTAATAATGTATAGGTGTGTTATTTTTATGCTTTTTTTATAGTGTGTTATTTTTTTATTTATTTTAGTTTTTATTGATCAGTTTTTTGGTATGATTTAAATAAAACAAGTTTATTTAGTTAATGGAGACAATAGTTATTGGAATCTTATTTTTTGAAAAAAAGAAAAAAAGGCACTAATAATGTCTAAATATTTTAATAGAGAAATAATACGGATGTGCGGAATAGCACGGCATCAACCTAATCTAACAACTACACACCGTCTTTTAGTCTTCTGCAGTTCTGCTCTTGTTTTTGTAGCCCCACCAGCTTGATGGCTCTCTTTTTTCATTTATAAATATCGTCTTCTCGAAAACAGAAACGTCTAATTACTACGCGCGCGTATATATATTACGCAAAACTAGGGGCCTTTGGCTATTGGATCAAAAGAATTCTCCAGTTAAAAAGTGATTGTTGAGAGTATTTCAGTCTTCACCATTGGATTTCAAGTGCAATGGCTATGAAAAGAACATGTTTATCCTATCCAAATTCTATTGTTGTTCATCACATTAAGCATATACAAAGCAAATTCAGCAATTAAAGAATATCGGGATTCCTCTTTTAATCGTTTTCATTCCTCTGTGACTTGTTTTTCTGAAGCCAAACTTCAAAAGTTTCGAACAAGTTCATGATTTTGTAGCATCTACGTTCTGTGTCCAGACTCCGAACCAGTCATGTCACGTAGATACAAGGCATTAGAAAGTAAAAACTAGAAACCAATCATGGGATTAGACTGAACCTCTGCAACCAAATGCAGTAAGAGAATTGTGAAGGGATATCTTGATTGTGATGCTTTGAGAGAATCTACTGTGTGTCTCTTTGCACTCCTCAAGGTCACCGTCACTGGTCTAGCGACCTCACTAACATCATCATCCACATACCTGAGATCAGTGCCTTTGAAAATCATCTATCTTGAAACGCTAGCCAATTTCTTGTTGCAAGTCCCTGAAATCCCAGTTTGGTTTCAAGCCTAGCGGGACCTTTTCTTCTCCGAAAATGGCTGACTTCTGAAGGCACCTTCCTCTCGCAAACTCTGGCCAAATTGTGCAGGTTCTAGCTGACTTTGGAGCTCATGCACTGTTTTGTGAGTCTGGGATATAAACTTTTGATTCAAGGCACATAATTCTGATTCTGCAAGTTTTTATAACACCAAATTTGAGTTTTCTATTGTTAAAGCATTTCCATTGCTCGATCCTGGCAGGTTGCTAGTGGCATGCGCTGGTTTGCTTGAGCAGAACAGCAGGTACTTGAACAAGAGCACTTACTGCCAGGACTGCTAGTCTTAGGTGGAGAGTTTGAATGCTTTAAATTGTCAATCATCTTGAATGATGATGAAGGATATTGAAATGAAAATTTTGGAGAGCTTTGTTAAGGGAAGGCTGAATAGAAAGATTCAATCTGAATGGAACCCTCGACACCTTGGGCCGAGTCAATCATCTTTTGGACTTTTCTTAAGGAGTGGTCAGCCTTCTTTATCTTTCGAGAAGGCCATTGTGTGACACCGTGTTGCCTGCATATCCTTTTTAGAGTTGTTGGGTAGGGAAAACTGCAATTAGAGCAAACAGTGTAAGCACCTTGCTGTCTGTATAGCTTAATCCTAACAAGCGCGCACACAGCAGGGTCTTGATAACTGATGACAGCAACGTAGATGAAACAAATGAAACAGTTTTTAAGGTTTCGAATGGTTACATCTCTCACTATCCAAATATCAGGTACATGTCCGACAATACATGAACGATACTGAAAGAACACTGCACTCAGAATGAATATATCAAAAAACAAGTTATAAATAAGAATATTATATCATTCAAAATTAATGAAACTATTTGATAATTCAAACTTTCATAGGTAATTAAAACCAAAATACTAATCTATAATACTTATTATATTGTTAAAAATTCAAACTTAATCAAAATAAAATAATAGTGGAGCGTTTAAGATATCGAATCAGAACTAAAAGAAAAACCTCGCAAAACAAGCAAGGCATATCAACTAAAATTGAAAAAACAGGAACACTCAATAGATCCACATGTTAACAGAAACAAAGAACCTGAAATAATATCAAGAATGAGAGGTGAGTTCAACCAACTCAGTAAAGAAATAATATTTAATATACATTATAGATATTAATAGTTTGTAAGATGAATTATCTTGATATATGTATACATATACATACTAAATATATTATTATAAAGTAGTGAAATACATATCAGAGATTAGATGACACATGGAGGTGACCACTGTGGGATGATCAATTGCCACAGGTAAATGTCTTTCTCACTAGCTAGATATATAAAATATTATGTGCACATAGATTAACTACTCTTTGTTAACATAGAGTTACTGACAAATTATATATCAAGACATAATAGATATTTATGGAATCATCAAAGAAACATATATCATATCAAATAGAATTTAGTTTGACAGATTGCGAGTGTAAACTCAAGAATAAATGAGTATTCAAAAAACAAAATAATGTATATAAATATTCAATAAATTATTGGTTGTACTTATCATATAATCAACATACATATTTATTTATATTATATGCATATTAAAGATTATTTGACTCACTCAGAAAATATAGAACTAAAAGGAATATCAGATAAAAAACCCGAAAAATTTATTGACAATTGTTAAGAGAACCTACAATAAATATACAAAATATTCTCAAAAGCAACATAAATAAAAAATTCCAATGCATTAAAAAAAAAAAAACCAAGTTTAGTCTACTAGGTATAGCGACTAAAACAATAATTATCCAAAACAAGGACCAAAATATAATTTTATCAAAACTGGACCAAACTATAAATACATAATCATACTGAAATTTTACCCATAAACCATCCTCAATTATGTCTAGAACGAACTAGGGAATCAATTGTAATTTTTATAAAGTTTAGGGACTAAAATGTAAACTTTTAAAATTAAGGGACCAAAATAAAAATATTCCAAATCAATTATGAACAAACTAAGATTTATAATCATTAACCTCATAATAACACTGTCCAGAATCTCAAAATACATTCAGGGGTTAAATTATAATATTTTCAAAGTTTAGGGACTAAACTAAGATTTTTATAAATCAAGGACCAAAATAAAATTTGGTCATCTTCAATCTCAAGACCATTCTGTCTAGATTTTTCAACAAAGTTAAAATGAATTTCTTAACCCATAAAAAATAATTTAAACAAATCAAATCACAAATTTTTATTTCTAACAACATATTAATCACTTAATGTTAAATCCTTAATAATCATAAATTAGTGTTAACAACATAAACTTCTAATTCTTATAAACCATAATCTCTCTCTCTTTTTTTAATCCATTCATAAACACATTATAATTAAAAGTAACATAAAAGAGAATCATTTACTTGTTATTACTATTTTTTTAAATTCAAAATTCAAGATAAAAAAACTAAAATCCTTAATTTGATAAAGAAAGAGTCGCGGTAGCCACAAGATTTGAAAGAAAGAATAATAACTTTTTTATAACTTTTTTTTATATATTTAAATTATTTTAGGTTGGGTTTGAACTGAATTGGGTTTGGATATTAACTTAGGCCGGGGCAAAAGTTGGTTTTTACACTATCTTTCATTGAAATGCTAGTGGTTACTTGTAATAATAGGTATAATGAAATGTGTGATTTCAGTCGTAATAAGCGATTTGCTTACCACCAATACTTTGAGCAGCATCTTTAAGGTTTTCCGCAAAATATTGTCGAATAACTTGCAGGATGATTTTCTGCATCTCTTTCTTGGTCTGTCTCTTCTTACCTTTTCCTCTGCCTAATGAGCGACGTCCACCAAAAAACAGAAGAAACTTCATGACCCTCAATATTGCTTTTGGGTCTAGAATATTTTTGAAGTTGACCCAACTCTGACAGTAGTTGCTTATGGTCTCATTCCACCTGAGAGTCATCATAATCAGTTATCACCTTGAACTGTTCTTTAGGTTCTTGTGCACAGTTCCATGTCACAGCCACTTTTTCCCACGTTTTTTGGGGCCCCATCATATGGGCTATCCAAGATGATTCATCTTGTGGAGGAGATGATGCAAAACTCTGATTTTCTCCTGTATTAAGTCTTCCATCAGAAGCAGCTATGATTCTCCAGTTCGGTTCTTCCTTGAGCTCCTTGTCCATGACAAGTTTTAAGCTCCAGCAAGCCTGTTGTATAGCAATGGGCAATATCTCCCACATTTTGTTTTGTTCTTCAATGTCTAGGCAATCCTTTGGAGAGAATAATTACAACACAAATTCGGTACGTATAAATGCTTTGGAGGGGAATCACTATGGTAGCACGCTAACTAAATATCATAGCATGGTGAGCTGGATGATAATTTGTCTTCGCTGAAAGCAGTTTTATACATCTCAAAACATTGTTTTTGCATTTTGAATGCTCTCCCCACCAATCCTTGGCCTAGGAATAGCTTATAAAAGCACTGCAGCTTTGTTATGATAATTTTTCAATTTCGTTGCGATCCTTGTGTTTTATCCTTCTGATATACACTTTTTGGTGTCCGTAGAGATCCTTAGAAGCGAGCGCAGATAAGTGGGAAGGGAACATGGTTCGTCAGTGTTTCAATGATCAGTCCTTGTGGTTAAATAAATATTCATTTGTGTTCTATTGAATTCCGAAAAATACTATAGATAAGCAGTAGTAAAGAGTTTTTGCATACTTGCAAGTGCATACTACATATAACGCCTCCCAAATTTGGGGCAGCAGCATAAATGATACAGATTACTAGTATATCCTAATTAAGCTAAGGTTACAAGTCAGTTACATACCAAATTTTTAGTGAAAGAACCCTTACAAGGAAAGGGCCCAGCCTTCCTTCAGAGGCACAATCTCAAGTCCAAAGTGAGACCTGATGAATAAGAAGAGGATGATTCATCTTCCATTGGGGCAGGCAAATTAAGGTCCAACCCACAACCTTCTTTTGCCGTAAGAAAATGAAGTCCTTGATTCATGGATGATGAGTTCTCTTCGCCTTTCTCCCAATGGCACCTCATGTGTCCACCTAGTGCCTGTCCACTGGGAAACATCCTCAAGCAAATACTGCACTTGTGCCCTAACACCAACAAAGCCTTGCTGTTATCTTCCACGTTCTCCTTCACATCACCACTCCCACTATGATCCTCAACAACCTCACAACCATCACTCCTTGTTAATGCAAAACAACCCTTCACATTCTTATGGCTTGCCCTATGACCCCCTAGTGCCTGGTGTGACCCAAAAACCTTCCTGCAACTTGAACACTCGAAACGAGTACAATTCACTTGATCATGATCTTGAACTTGGTGAGAACTACTAGCACCAACCCCACCGCCAAAATCATTACACTCCAACATTGCTGCACCATCACTATCAGCCAACATTAACAAACAAGAAGCCACCTCATGATCCTCTGCAGTCATCATGCCTTTCCAGTTAGTAGGACTAGCAATACTTACTGGCTGATCAATAGGCGAAACGGGCCTAAGATTATTGGGAGGTGGATTAATGCCACGCCATTGTCTTTCAGGGTGACATCTCATGTGACCAAAGAGTGCTTTCCATGACCAGAACTTCTTGCCACACTCACTACAAGGTCTTGTGATCTTTGGTGCGGAAGGGTCAGGTTTATTGTAATATTTTGGCCTAGATATTGTACTAGAAGGAAGCAAACTTGGTTCAATCTTGATCAGCCTAGTCCTTTTTTTACGTGGGTTTTGATGGTGGTATGTGGTAGGGATTGAAGAAGACGAAGGAAGGCAGAAATCAGGGTCGGGATCAGTATTATGGCTTGTCATCACTGTTTGAGAAGTAAAGGTTACGGAGATTGAACGAGAAAGAAGAAGAAAGAAAGAAAAAATGTAATGACAGGAGAAGAGGTTGCTTATGTAGATGTAATGGCAGTTATAGGCAGTTAATAGAATGTGAGGAAGTGGCGGTTTCTATGTGTTTTGTTTGTTGTAGTTATCCACGAGGTGCTTGAAACATGGTGACTCTTTGTTAGCACTAATCAAACTGCCTAACCCGCACTAATCTCTCTCACATTGAGATTATGGTCATAAAAAGGATTTTCTGCTAATTAATTTAACACTAGAATACCAGTAATTTACTCTTGGAAAAATTGAGTTTGTCTCCAATTAAGGCTAATTAGGAGGCTAATTATTGGTGATTTCTGTTTTGTGTTTGGAGGGTGAAGGTGGGAAAATGTAGGTGATGCTTCGCAAGTTGAACCCACTTTAATTATTAAAAATATAATATTGAATATTAAAAAATAATTTCAATTTAAAAACTTGAGCCAGCATTAATTTTCTAATAATATTTTCCGAGTTTTTGACATATAAATGTGGAATCTCACGTAGTTAGGATTTTTGAATTAAAATGATGTCTTTTAAACATTCGCGCCTGCAAGTTCATATACCAACCCCCCAGTACAGATCTGACCACATGGGTTTACAGAGTAAGGTGGAATAATTAGCCATTAACAGCTTAACACAATAATTCAACAGAAGTAATTTAGCGATTAGCTTCTGCAAAAGGATATGAATTCCCGTATGTTTATTGCGAATAGAACATAGCTGGGATTGGAAGTGGAAGGCGGGGAAAAGCAAAAACAAACAATTACGATGAACATTACTAAACATTATATTACAACACGGTTAGAATTCAGTACTGAATAGATTTTGGAGCTAGAGATTAAAGTATGGCTGATGCTGCCAGAGCAATATTACTGCAAATGTCGACAGCCACTGCAGTAGAGTCAAAATAAGTGCAGACGGGTCTTTTTTCAACCTTCTTTAGTCAAAGAGTATATAACACAGTAAGGTATTCCAACATCCTCTTATTTCTCTGACTGGCTTTGATGAGCTGAGGGTGCTTTAAAATTCTTCAACGATTTCCCCAAGACATTTAATATCGCCACACGTTGCAACTCCTTTGCTGTAAAAATTGGGAATGAATTAGAGTGATGAATAAGCCTCCAATAATCTCAAAATCGTGAAAGTGACTAGAATTTATCAAGCATGAACAGACATCATAGTAGCAACAAATGCCTATTTTAATGGTGCCGAGAAAAAGTAGAATTGAAACAGTTATGGACCTCAGAATAGGTAATGGCACCACCAGTTACAACTTGTGAAGTTACTGTGAAGAAGACATGGCTGACAAACATAATATGATGATATGCAGAAAACTTGCTCGAAACTAAAGCAAAGCACACGGTCCTACAATAGCATAACTGTGGTAAATTATGGAATTAAGTGTAAAAGTTGACAGTCACAAAAGCATAATGAAACTCTAGAGAAGATATAGTTGGCAATCTGGTGACGAGTTCAAGTGGTAAATTATTTAATGGTCTTCAAAATTAGAGATATTTTGCTGTCCATTTTGAATCTCATTGTATAACTCATGCAATACAATGCCTCTGCAGGCCACATTCATTTACATGTGGTGCACATTAAGCCCACCTCAAACATGCAGACTCCCCTAATCATATCCATATTACAGTTTATGAGGGTTGTGTTTGACCTTACCTTACCATACACACATTCGAAGGAAAACAAAAGGCACGAAGAACAGAAATTCATGTTACCTTCCTCCAGTGAAAGTTGAATTGATCTCTTTTCCAACTCAATTGCGTGTCTGCTAAGCTCAACTGAGGAAACTGTCCGAAGCTCTGCAGCAGGGGAAAAAAAACATTGAGAGAGAAAGGAAATCAATGCTTAGCAGTGGTTAAATAGATTATCTCAATTTGAAACTCCAAGACTTACTCTGGGCATATTCCTCTTGATCAGATTCATCCAATTTCTTCAACAACATGTGCAATTGACAATAACGCTCTTACCAATGCATATTTTTCTCTGCCATTGGATTAGATGAAGGGGCAGTGGAACCAACAGGATGACAACTAGATTCTGCTGGTGCAAACCTTATGCTAGACTGTCCAAGAGGAAGAGGAACTGAAGGTTTTCCAGATGAACTTGTTGGGGGAGCCACAGGCATAGGTGATAATGCTTGAAAGGAAGAGACTGTTGGCTCCTTTATCTGGGAGGGTTTTGGTTGAAGAGTCTCCTCATGATGACCAAGCTTGCCTGTTTCTGCTTCAGATTTCCTGCGGACATAAACAAGATGAGAATTTGGAGCACCACTAGATGAAGATTCATATCGGAGAACTGGAGGGTTCATCAGGCCCTCAGACGATGGTCTCTTGGCTCCAGAAACCTTAAAGCTGTTCATAGTCTGTCCTCTGTCCTTTGATAATGGAGAATTTCCAACAGATTTGGGAATTCTATTTTCATTCTGCACATCTCTTAATGCTGTCTTCTTTAAAACGAGTGGGAATTGCTTATCGTGTGTGGACAAGTTAGTATCAGTATTGCTGAGCCCATACTCACTAAATTTTGAATCTATCGTTTGTTGAACCATCTGAAGTAAAGACAAACGTGAGAGATTCAGAACTTAACTATACAAGAAGTCTAATGATCAGAAACCTTTGGAAACTAAAACTAATAAATGATACAAGCCAAACACAATGAAAGAATTCATTGTGTTTAGTAAAATCACCCATGCAAGTTAAATAAAGGACAGAAGCTTCAGATTTCTTAACACTAAGTCAATGAACATCAAACCCATGAAAGCAGATCCAACAAATACAAGTTCTTTTTCTTTTTTAATTCTGATTGAATGACCATTTCCTGAACACTCATCCAATATACTTACTACCAACAAAGCCATAAGGCAGCATTTTCCTTTTGCATTAGATTCACAAGTAAATCCTAACAAATCAAGTAAACTCAAAAGAAAAAAAAAAAGAAATTGACATATCCATCTTCATTATCTAGAGTAAACTATATACACATATCACCTTGAAATTTCAACTGCTTAAGAACCACATTACACAATTAGGGCATTTATTAATCATAATCAGCAAAAGCTGAGCTCAAAATAACTTAACATTACAGCACCAACAATCCCAACAACCAAATCAAGAGAATCCCACAGGTAATAACAAATTAAACTCAATAATTCCTATTCATCTTACATAAAACCTTAATCTTTGAGCGACATTAAGATAAATTAAGCAGAAGTGGCAAAAAAAACAGAAACTCAGAATATTAAAGACAGCAATTTTGAAACATGGGTTCTGTTTATCACCTAGAGAAACAAGACCCATCAAATAAAAATGCAAAATTTACAATAACAACCTAGTCTACACGAAGTTACAAAAATTGATCCATTTTACTTAAAATTTCACCATTAATCTCCAAAAACAAAAAAACTTCACAGAAAGCAAATAAATGAGAGATTAAGAGTAATATACTAAGGAGAAAAGGGGTTAGAGGAAATTTGGAATTCAAAGCAGAGAGGGGAAGGCATTATTACCTTAGCTCATCGAAACGCAGTGTGAGAAAGCGAGTGAAAGACAGAAAGAGAGGGGTTTCAAAAGCCAAAGAAGCTTTGGCTCTAAAAAAATAGTTAAGAGATTTATTATTTAGCTCTCTAACTTCTTAGTATCTCATTTTAACCACAGAAGGTCTGGCTATTTATGTTTTGTCCCGACTTTGAGTTCTCTTTTTTTTCCACAAAGTACCCCGAAGTTACTCCAGGTTTTAGAATTTGGTCCAGCACTTCCTCTTAAGAGCCTTTTAGTGGGACCGAAAAACAACCTAAAAGGTGATTAGTTTGTGCTATAAAGTTGTTTTTCTATTCTTTTTCTTGATTAATCTGTTTATTATGGGGACTTGTCAAGGATTTGTACACATTTCCAATGTAAGACACATTCACATGATGTTTTTTCCCTATAAGAAGTGTAAATTGAGACTTGTGGCATTTACTATTAGATATATTTTGATATTTAACAATAAAGGAATATAGAATAATGAGGATTAAAAAATCAAGATTAGAGCTAGTGAGGTGAAGGAGCATTGGCCTTTTTTATTAGACTCTGTTTTAGCAACTGAATTTTTATGTCATGAGTCTTGATTCTTGAATCTTGAAATGGAAAATCCAGTAGGGTGCCTCAAATTGCTTCTGCTTCCATAGTAATCATATACGATAATACTCCCTATTGGATGAGTATTTGATAACACTCCTCTTGTTTCCCGTGCTGAGTTTTACAGTTGACTCTTGAAGGAATGCCAACTCCGGCTGCTCTTAATTTCCTGGTATGGCTCACCCTCGTTCAAGTTCAATGTCCAAGTGTTAATGTTCCACCAGCCGCATAGCAGAGAGTATTATTGCCAACACAAAACCTTGATGAGGTATTTAGCTTTGAAATGCCCCCAGCTATCCCTCCTTATTTCAAGAAAATATAGGCTGCCCCTTTTCTCTAGACCTTGTCACGGGTCTACCCGTTTCAAAGCTTGTGAAGTTTGGACATCTGATTAACTTCGGCTACAAAGCATTCTACTTTGCACAAGCCCACGGCCACGGGTTTAAGCTTGTACATCAACATTATTTACCACAAGTTAACTACGAGGAGGCTAGGCATGCACCAGACGGGCCACCTCATGGAATCTACTAAGGCACAGCTCTAGAATGCACTTAACTTACCCCCAAAGCTTTCAAAGCAAGCAAGTTATGGCATGGCTTGACAAAAGAGAAAAGATAAACATCAACAAAATCTAAAAAATTGGAGGAAAAAGATCATCTCACAGTTTATCCAACAATGGTACTCTTAATGGCCAAATGAAAAGGATCATAAACCAACCAAGTAATTTGAGCTGTAAAATACATCCACTGTCGATCATTAATAAAATTTTCTACATAGAGAAAGGAGGTTTCCAAGAAACTGAAGAAGAGG